CTGATTTATTGATATTTAGAGAATTAAGCATGTTAAAAACTTCACTTTCCTCAATTTGATGAATACTAAAGATGGTTTCTTCATCAAGCTTAGACCTTACAAAATTACATAATATATTAGGATCATAATCATGTTTAGGCAATTTCATCAGAAGCTTATTAGAGATATCCGTAAAGTGGTTATTAAAAGTATTTGCAATATCCTGTAAATTATCAACAATTTCCCCATTAGAAAACACATGAGATGGTGTTATGTTCTTTGAATTACATGTTAATTGATTAAGATAGTTCCACATTTCTTTGAGATTTGAACTTTGTTCAATAGCTGTTTTATAGTAAGACGATTTTGATTTGTCTATAAGAAGACTAACTTTGTTTCGATAAATTCTATAGTTCTCCATATCTCCTTCTTTATGGTAAGAGTCCCGTAAATGTCTAGCATTGTTTATTTCTTGTGTCATCCATTTAGGGCGGATTTCGCTCTTTACGCGTTTTGTTTTAACCTTTGCATGCTGGTCAAGTATACTATTAAATAAATCATAGAATTCAGTTAGTATTTCATTAGGGTCATGCATCTGGAGGAGATTGTTAAAGTCTACATCTTTTAAGTCGTGAAGGAATTTATTTTCATCGAACTTTTTGAAGTCTCTGTACTCTATTTCTACGTGTTGTCCTTTTTGCTGCATTCATTTTGTTTTTCTAGTGGCACATATTGGGTAATGGTCAGAGATGGCTATAAAAGGTACATTTACTTCACACATGTTATCTGGTTTATTGGTGTAAAAGTGATCTATTAGAGTACTTGAAGTATTAGTTACTCTGGTTGCTGCTGTAATTAGTTGTGAAAAATCAAATTCTTCTAAAGCATATGTCCAACTTTGTGGGGGTTCTTTGAATAAGTCTACATTAAAATCACCTGTTAAGATGATTTCAGCATTGTCACAGCAGGAGGCACAGTTAATCTCTCTAGCCAGGTCCTCTGCCCAGCAGGAGGGAGCAGATGGTGGACGATATGCTGAACAGTAATAAATTGGTTTAGAATTCTTTGTATTTAATTCTAGCCAAATTGTTTCAATATCACCAATTTCAAAATCAGTTCTACGCTTGTGTGCTAAATCAAAAGTTTATGTTTACATGTATAGTTTTTGCATTAGAATGACTGTGTATTATACACTAGCCCATAGCTTTACAGAGCATATTTTTAGGTCTTATACTTACCCCACCCCCTTTCTTATCTAGGAGGAAGTCGATATTGAACAAAAGCAAAAAAAAAAATCAACCTACCTTTATTTTTCTATAAGAAGGAATTAAAAATAAGCTAAAAATAATCTACCATTCTACTAATTTTTAACTGTTACTTTGCCACAATACTTTCAAGTATACCTCCACCAACATTTAAAGTATGCTTTAATCATGGCGAAGTAAATTATGATATGATAGTACTTGTGTGAAGGCTTAACTTCATTTCAATATTTTATCTAGAGCCTCTCTCAGAATTATTGAAAGGTATAGAGTTTTATTTATATTTTTGCTTTTCATTTATTATTATTATTTTTTTTTTTTGATTTAACGTAATGTACTTCTTTTTTTTGGGGGGGGGGGATAAAAATTTCCTCCTCCATCATTGTCAAATAGGATTTGCCAAACTTAAACAAACTAAAAGTTGAAATGACGGAAAATTTAATTTTTCCTATTGAAGAGTATTTAAACCTGATTTTTGCATGGTTTGATTTCTAAAAAAAAAAGTGGAATATCATTCTTTAAGCAAACTCTATAAGGAGGAATATTAATAAGAAATTTTATTTACTTGACAATTAAAGAATCTCTTTTCAAACACAATTTTAGCATTGAAAGATTACGTGTATCTCTTAATTATTTCATACGACTTTTTGTATTTTTCTGGTTACAGAAAAAGTAAAAATTAGTTTCGGTGTAAAAAAAAATATCAAAGAGTGTATATTTTGTATCACTTTAAAGGGGGTCATTTTTCAATGGGGGTCATTATTTTATAGGACTAACATATAATATATTGACCCCCTAGGACCCTTTTTCTACAAAAAATGATTTTTTTCTACGGGTGGGGGTCACTTTTTGTCGTTGAAAAATGACCCCCCGGTCATTATTCGATGGGGGTCATTATTCGTCTTTACAAAATTTAAACACTGTTTAAAATTGACCATAACTTTTTACACATGTATATTAGCTGTGACAAGGCCAGTATCTAAAAAAAAAGGTATGGCATAAATCATGGAGAGTGTGTTATGGCCTTGAATCAAGGTCATTTAGGATAAGATATTTTGACTGGATGCATTGTTTAAAAAACATGTGTGAATTTGTCAATACAGTAGCACACAAATGGGATATGCTCATCACCATCTTGTGTTATGGTGTGACCCAAGGTCATTTTGACAAGGTCGAGGTTGCAAACATTCCTTTACTATCACTTTTTTAATAGTAAAACATAATAAGATGATATCTACCCTTAACGTAGGTCGCGGGTTTACAGGGCTTTTAAAAGTGTTCGAAAGCATACCATGAAAATTACCTAAATGATTTCTCTACCTTTGATTTCCATTCTCTGAAAATTTCATAAAATTCGTCTGCTTCGTTTTTGTGTAATTGAATTCCAAAGATGTCATTGTTGTAGTTACATTTTCAAGGGTATTCTATTGAATTGTATAGGGAAAACGTCGTTTTTGGCTTGTTTTCAGGCAAGGTTTTAATTAAAAAAAAGTATCAATAACTTTTAAATCGTGCAGACGAATTTGTTTATCCTTTGGTATTTAAAAGTAGAATTGATTTGATATAAATCTATGTCAAAAAATTAATATGTCCTCGGGTTCATTTTTTCGTAATTAAATTGTAGATAATTGCTTTTATATTGACAAATGTAGCATTTTTAAGAACAACGTCACGCTTGACGTCGTGAATATCGACCTGGTATACAGAGCACAAAAAAAAAAATATACGGATTTTAAGAAAAAGGAAATTCATGTATATCTGCTTTCAAATGACCAGTTTCATATTAATAGTTCAATAAAATAATTATTAGACATTTTTCCCTTGAATCGATCAGCTTATCATGGCTAATTTTAGTGAAAATTCACGTAAACGGCGTAAACCAACAATCAGTCCTTTAGTTTCTTTTTTTTTTATTTTCTTTATGTTTATTTCTACCGTTTCTTTTTATTCATGCGCGGATTCTCGCCGGAATTTGGAAAATAAAAGTGACCTTCCCCCCATTGGAAAAGGCAGACTCTCCATCTCTGTTGAAATCGCAGATCTGTGATCTAAGTTTATATGAAAAGTCGTAGGTATGAAGATAATTTAGAAGTCAAGGACTACTAACATCCCAAACCCTCAACCCCGAAATATGTTGTAACGTACGCTTTGTATACATCCTTTTTCGTTAGAAAATTCAGCAAGGGTATCAAATCAACAATAACTTCTTCTGAATCAATTTCCGCCAAATACCAATAACTTCTTCTGAATCAAGTGTTCATATTGAAAATGTTTTTGTTTACAAAGAGGCAGCAAATAGGCCTAGCTAAAATAAATCTTAATTTGATTTTATTTTATGCTTAATGTACGTATAAGGATAGAAAAAATGCTTACTTAAAAGGAATTTAGAGGGGTAAATGGGACGATAATTTAAAAATTAATTTTATTTAGCACAATAAACAGGCAGATTTTATTTTGTTCTTAGACTCTCATTGTATACATATAACATTAACATTAATTCTACTGAATGAACATGGAAAGCAACGCAGCGAATAAAATATCTACATGTAACTAGCAACAACGCGTGCCGTTACTTACACAGGCAATTGGAGTGTCGACCCCCCCCCCCCCCTTTCTGTTTTTCTGGGTGTTTCCCTATTTTGGATTTTAACATGTTTAATACTTATTGCATGTTATTAATAATGTAACCCATTTCATCTCTTTATGCTGTTTTTAAATACCATGTTTTTCGTCTTCGATTGATACATAAAATGAGACGGCTTGCAATTTGTTTTTATTCTCGACGTCTGCCTCACAATCTTCACTTGCATAATCACTATCTATAAAGCGTAGAGAATCATGGAATATGCAGACAGTGATAAATTTGAAAAACACTCTTTTTCCTTTTCAGATTTCCATTTATATAATTCTTTATTTGCCTCCGATTAGTAAATATTTCGATTAAATCGACGTGCACATATAGGGTGGAGTTAAAATTTAAAAAAAATGGAAAAGGTTTACTCATCCCTGGCGTTAGGAAGTAAAAAATGGAAAGGAGGGAGGGGTTCATGTTCTACGTGCCTGTGGTTATTTACAAGAGGTCAACGCCGCTCAAAAAATGTATACATGTATATAATATATATAATTTAGTTTATGTTTCATTAAGATTACCCCGGAGGTGCCATAGCAGTTTTTAATTTATGATCAACCTTTATATAGAATTGTCTGAGATTAGCACATACCGTTTCATAATTGAGTTTGACTTTCAAAGTTTCTAGTATGGTTCAGTGAATATGAAATGACTTTTTGTTCAAACAGGGTAGTCGCTTTTCAATATACTTTGTAGGGTTGTAAACAATTAGATATAATCTTTCACTAAAATATGTACATGTGATGTAGGCCCGGGCACATTGAGCATTTTTTTTAAATTCACCTTCCTTGTAGTTATTTCTAAAATAAGGTAAATGTAAATTGTACCGGTAATCTATGAATGGTGATTACAAATTTTACACCATTGAATTAAATTTAGTTCTTTAGCATAATACATCAATCACAGTATTTTCAGAAAATGTAATTAAAAATTATTAACAAGCCCAGATACCTGTACTATGATTTTAATACGTTTTACACTACAACACATGCATATGTTCATGTCAATGAATTTTAATTATCTCGAACTATAATCAAAAGTGAAGTTTTCAGCTCAGTGTTGGTATTCAGACTGTGTAATTTTAAATCTGAATTTTAAGAAATTGATTTTTATTTTGTGACTTCCTCCAGGGGGTACGCTGAAGATCTATGGAGAGAGTATTAAGCCGGACATTCCCTACAAGACCCTCCTCCTGTCTACAGCTGACAATGTCCACTACGTCATCAAAGAGACCATGGACAAGTACGGGATGGACTTCAGCGTCAATGACCCCGACGATTTCTGTTTGGTTCAGGTGAGCATTACAGGCCTAGAGCTGATTGGTTCTGAACCCCTCTGGAAACTCTCTCCTTTATGGGCAATTAATACAATTAAGAATATAAGCATGACAATATATATTGTAATCATAAGCATTTGTAACTATATGGTTTATAAGACCCATAGGACATAGGTTTGGTTTTGAAAGGGGAAAATTATAACCCTTAGTATTGCTTCCTTGCAGAAAGCAATTAACAAATTGATTCAAATGAGTCCAGCCATATTTTTACTAATTTTTGAATATTGGTAACATTGTTTTAATGGTGAAAAATAGTTTTTGGTTGAATCCTTCTAGTTATATTTGAAAACTTGGTTTCTACATGTAATGGCACACATTGGAGGCTTTGTATCTAAGCACACTACAGTTTTACAATTTATCCTCAGCAGAGCTTTTGATTTACACCTGTTTGAATTTTACAGGTGTTGGTGCCCCCAGGTGAGAGGGAGTGCCACGGAGGGAACATTGGGGAGGAGAGAATCATGGAGGATCATGAGTGTCCGCTGGCCATCGCCATTGATTTCCCTCCCACTGAAGGTCAGTTGTATTGTTAAAGGTATCTTATGTAGGAAAAAATTCTTTTTTTATACCCCCGCAAACGAAGTTTGGGGGGGTATATAGGAATCACCTTGTCCGTCTGTCCGTCCGTCCGTGTTTACGAGAGTGCATTTATTGGGTATTTTTCATGCCAAGATTGTACTTATTGGGTACTTTTTGCTTATTGGGTATACCCAATAAGAAGTGTCGCTGAATATGCTTAAAACACCCTAATTGGGTATTTGCAGGTTAGTACCCAACAAAACTTGGACACGACGATTTGTCCAAAAAAGTGTCCAAAAAAGTTGCTTTCACGGACGCACCGTGTTTTGTTGTTTCAGTTTTACATTCGGAACTCTAAATTCTCGAGAGTTCCGAAAATCAACTTCCGTTGATCCTGATCATGACAACGTTTGTTTTCATGGAAAAAATATGGCGACTAAGAAACACGTTATATGTCAACAAGATTTTCCGATTGACAAGAGAAAAGGTAAGTTTATTCGATTAATATTTATC